GGCTCGGGTTCGAGCCTCCCCTCCGGCTCCGTGACCTCGGCCTCGTCCTTCGGCATAAGCGGTGCCGTTTATGCGCCTTGTTGACACGGAACAGGGCCTCCCAGCCCCAAGGCTCTGGGCCATTCTTCGTGAGGGGCTGTCCTGGGCCTCCCCTTCCCAGGACCCCCCCCCACCCCCCAGCCAGGACACCGCATGGCCCACTTGTGTGTGAGACAGAGAGAAGCTCCCTGGTGCTTCCCCCAAGGGCTCCTTACCTGGCCTTCTTCCCAGCCAGCAGGCCGCCCTCCGTCCTCCCACACACCGACCCATGGAACCCTCCGGAGGCAGCGAAGGCCACGCAGAGCGAGCCCACCGGGGATTCCCGAGTTCCTCTTTCAGTGACTGCTTTTGAGACCTCTTCCCACGACGCGGGGCTCTGCTCGGGGACCGGGAACTGTTTTTGGCCCCGTGGACACGCGACCCCACGGCGGTCACTGGCACCCAGTTATTGGCTTGTCCGTCGCTGCCTCTTGTCTCCCCAGGTGACACCTGGCTCAGGACCCTCCCTGGAGGGCGTGGACCGCGGAGCCCTGCGGAGCAGCCACCCAGGCCACGGGCGGGTCACTGCCTCCCTGCCCCTTGGTTGCCAGACAACTGTGCTCGCTTGGGGGCTGCTGACAGGAGGGCCCTGGAGGTAGGCTGACCGGGGTCCCAGGATGGCACCCGTGGGGGCACTGCCACCGTGGCGTGATGGAGGCTTTGAGGGGACATGCAGGGGGGCAGAGAAGAGGGTCCGGCCCCAGGGTGGTGTGTGGGGGTGGCCGGGGGTGGCGGGCGTCACCTGCGAGGGTGGGTGTGTGGTCTGGCGGGGCCGGGGGGCCTGCAGGACAGAGAGCAGAGGGCAGCATGGCCGTGGGCCAGGCAGCAGACGAGGGCAGCCAGGGTCCCAGTCTCTGGTCCCACAGGATCCACTGGAGGAACCCACGTGGGAGAGAGGGAGGGAGCGAGGGAGGGAGACAGACACCAGGGAGCAAAACGAAGGAGACACCGCAAGGCCTAACGAGAACAAGGCAAGAAAGGCCTGGCTGTGCCGCTCGGCCAGCCCCCAGTCCCCTGCGGAGTCTTGGCTCGCGGTGTCGCCGGCTCCGCTCCGACAGAGCCGCTTGGGATCTGGGCTTTAAACAAGGATGGAAGTGATGTCTTTCGGAGTCAAAGAAAACACTGAGATAAAACAACCTCAGGGAAGCAAAGCGTTCCCAGCGACGACAGTCCCTTCCTTGTGTCCCGATGAAGGGGTGCCCGTGTGGCCGGGAGCCCTCGGTCCCCGCTGTGTTGACGTGACCCTCCCTCGCTGAGAGCAAGCGCATTCTCTAGAGCCCTTGTACGGCCTGGGCCGCCCTGCCCTGGAGCAAGGGCGCCGGTGACGGGGACACCCCTCTGGGGGCTGGAGGGGGGGCAGCTGGGGCGGGGCAGAGTCCCGTCCGCGTTGCGGTGGTCTCTTCGCCCGCCGCAGGATCGGCCGCCCCCAGCTCCTGCTCACCCTCCTCAGCCGCAGCACCCCCCCTTCAGGGGGCCTCCCCGAGTCCCAGGGCAACGAGAGGCCCTTCTCAGAGCCCACTGAGTGCCTGCCACCGCCAGGCACCGCCCTGTGAGGGGCGCGCCCAGCGCAGACACGATGGGGCCACTGGGCTGAAAAGTCCACCTCACGGGCTCAACCGAGGGGCTGGAGAGGCGCCAGGAGGGCTGTCTGGTCACAGGCGGGCGCCCCGCCCTCCGAGGCTCACAGGATGGCCCTGGCAGACGTGGCAGGGAGCAGAGGGGGCGGCCCGTGTCCCGCCCCTCACCCCGGGAGGCAACGCTGGTGGCAGGTCAGGGCCGCTGAGGGGAGAGCCCGCCATGCCAGGCAGACCCCAGACCTCAGACCTCGGGGGAGACGGGCTCCGGGCCCGAGGGAGGGGCACTGGCAGCCAGACCACTGGGCTCCACTCTCGGGGGCTGGGAGGGGCCGGCGCGGGCCCCCGCACCTGCCCCCCTCACCCCCGCAGGGTGCCAGGGTCAGCGGAGGAGAAGCCGTGAGGCCGGCTCACTCTGGGGGGGAACCGGGAGGAAGAGGCTTTCCCAGAGAGCTGTTTGCCTGAAGAAAGTAGTCCAGCTCAACACATCCTTGACACATTGCTGACCGCCGCGTCCATGTGGACACGGACGTTTCTCAACAGCCCTGGCCTGGGACTCACCATACGCACACTGACTGGCATGCGCCTGTGGAAGGGAGACAAGAATCCAGAAACTTCTCCCTGCAGGGGGAGTCAACAGACACACTGAGCTGATTAGCAAATGTGACTCCTTCCGATTTGGGCTCCAGGACTGGAAGTGCCTCATGGAAGTGCCTGGAGTGGCCCGTGCACCGTGCGTCCTGGGACACCCGGTGGGGTCACAATGACACTTGCCTAGGCAGAAAGTCAGAGCTTTCCACGGGTACAGCAGTCTTGCAAAGCGAGCCCCACGGCCCCCAGCACGGCCCCCGGGAACGCGCATGCTTCCCTGGACAGGTGACGGGAGTTCACGCCACCGGCGGGGGCCCCCCCGCCGAGCGGCAGGGGGCTTGCGAGGTCAGGAGCTTGCCATGCAGATGGACCCTGCATCGTGGGGAAACGTCCTCTCTTCTGATTGATGAGAAACCACCGTTCAAGGGCTACAGACATGGCTCCTGAGATGCGCATGCGCTGAGGCTTCTGTAAGCAGAAGTGCGCGCCTGAGGCCCAGGCAGAAAACTCTTAGGAACGGTGAGATGTCAGCAACCGCACGCAGGAAGCAAGCGGATGGAGTCAGAAAAGCAGCCTGATTGGAAAACCGCCACAGATGCGTCCCTGAGTCCACAGACTAGCACGCTTAAAAAAAAAGTTCCACCTCGCCCTTCCAGGGGGCGAAGTCTTCCTCACCAAGGAGATCTGGCTGGATCCACAGCTCGGGGAGAAAACACTGCGTGCTCCACATTCTACTAATTACTGCTGGGCTCCAAGGACAAGAATTTACTAACAACCTCATAAAGTTGTGTTTATTTCTTCCAAGATGCAACATTAGCCAGACCCCTCCGAATAATTTAAGATTACAGAACTTTGGACTTCCACCAGAACCTGTATCACTTTCTTGGTAAACAAGGAAGGCCTTTCTTTAGATGTAGTCACGGCACAGTGTTTATTTACACACACTTCACAGGGTGCAGCTTCTGCGCACCACAGAAAGTGTTTATTTATGTTAAAAAAAAAAAAAAAGGAACAGCTCAGCTCTCTGCCTTGCTGAAGATAAATGTTCATTTCTTTGGAAACCAAAACGGTAAGTTCCTTGTCAAGCCAAACAGATCCTAACACAAAAGGAGAGAATAATATTATTTTAAGACTTTGCTTTACGCCTAACTTCAGCCAAAACACTGAAGAGGCAATATCGGTTTTCAGATGGTATTATGCTGACGCGGAGGGCTTCCTGCGGTCGGCCACCCTGGGCGAGGCTCAGGAACAGCGAGGGCCCTGGGGCAGCGGGGTGCCCGGGGGCCCTCAGCCCCCCCCCCCGCCAGGCCCGGAGCCTCTCCGGGGCACGCCCCTTCCCCCAGCTGCTTCCCCCGCTGCCAAAATAGTGCGGGGGTCACCCCTTCGCCAGTCCCAGCCTGCGCTCTGGACCACACCGCCCTTTCCGGGGTGAGATCTTCCGGGGGCCACCGGATCCTCCCACTTCAATAACCCACTGAGGTTTTGTTAGGAGGTATCTAAATACAGGAAGTGAGTCCCATAGCGAAATCCTTTTAAAAAGATTCCTTAGCGTTTTATGGAAACTGTGGACAGGAAGCAGCCTAAGTGCCCATCAGTAAATGAGTGGATCACAAAACGGTGGTGCATTTACGCAGTGGAGTACCACGCAGCAGAAAGAAAGGAGCTCCTACCCTTTGCAACAGCACCGGTGGGGCTGGGGAGCATTGTGTTCCGTGAAATAAGCCAGGCGGGGAGAGACAAATGATGTGATCTCACCGGTAAGTGGGAGCTAATCAACAAAATAAACAAGGAGCAGAGAACCAGAGACATGGGAATAAAGAACAAACTGACAGTAACCAGGGGGGAGGAGAGAGGGGGTACCCGGAGGAAGAAGGGGACGGGTCCTCAGGGAACGTGTATCAAGGGCCCACGGATAAAGCCAAGGGGGGGAAGGATTGAGGGGGGAAGGCGGGGCTGGGTGGGGTGGGGAGGAAGTGGTGGCGGGAAAACGGAGACAAATGTACTTAAACAATAAAGAAAAGAAAACTGGACAAGGAAGTGAAGGTGACAATTTCTTTTTACATTTTTCCAAATCCGGTGCCAGGTCTCGTCCTTCCCGGGGTTTCAGCTTAGACTCTGTCCCGAGCAGGAAGCCGAGCACGTTCCGCGGGCTCACGCCCAGTCCCCTCCCTTAGAATCGCCAGCCTCCAGAAGCGCAGACGCACCGAGCGAGCGGGCAGAAGGCGCGGGGGACACGTCCCCAAGGCAGCCGGCCCCCTTCTGCACAGGCAACCCCGGGGGTGGGGATTTGCAAATCAGCAACTGCTCTCTGTCAGTGCGAGGTGTTCCGTTTTCACTGATCTCGGGGTGAAGGGCCGTGGTTCTGATTCCCAAACGCGCGGCCCGCGAGGAGGCGGCGCCCATACTTTGTCTACACGCGGTCGCCGCAGCTCTGGCGCGGCCCAGGGGTGCAGGTGGGGTCCTGCGTGGCATGCTTTCCCTCCGGGAAACCAGCGAGTCCCGGGGTGTGAGGGAAGGTGCCTCGTGCTTCTGGGGACGCCCTGCCCCCACCCCGCAGCCCCTATGCAGCCCCTCTCGGCGCAGCCGGCGCGGACCCCCGCCCGCGCCCCGGAGCCCAGACGGTCGGCCGGCAGAGGGGACGCTCGAGGGGCGCCCCCGGTGCGCTCGCCGCGCCCGCCTCCTCTCGAGAGCGCCGCGCGGGAGGGTGACGGGCGACGGCGGGCGTGGGGGTCGGGTGGTCGGACCGGCCCTACTCACCCAGGAGCAGCCACAGGCCGCGCTGCGGGAGGCCGCGCAGGCCCGGGGCCATGGCGCGCTGCCGAGCCAAGCGGAGCCGAGCCGAGTGTGCCTGCCGCGCGCCCCGCCGAGGTCTGAGCCGCTGGGCGCCGGGGGCGGGAGAGGGAGCGGGCGGGAGGCGGCCGGCCCAGCCCACTGCGGCTCCGGGGCGGCGTAGGCCCGGCGGGGGCGGGGGGACGGCAGAGCGCGCTGCCGAGGGGGTGCCAGGCGAGCCAGCACCTGCCGCCGGGGCGCCGGGGGCGGGGGAGGCTGCACGAACTGGGCGACATGACCCACGCGAATCGCCCCGACAGCCCAGCCAGGGGAGCGCTGAGCTGCGAGACCCTCCCCGGGGGCCGCCCCCAACGCACTGGCGCTCCTGAAACGTTCACCGAATCAGGGATATCTTGCGAGGCACGGCCTCCCAGACAGGGCTCCTCGGTCGCGGCTGGGGCCCGTTCCCGTCCCCTCCCGGGCTCTGACCGCGCCTGCCTGCGGCGGCGGGAGGAGACGGGGCGGTGGTGTCTCGCCAAAGGCCAAGATCACCGTTCGGCTCCCGGCCCTCCCTGCCGTCCAGGCGCCGGGCATCCCGGGGGCTGAACAAGCTGGGCGCTCGGGGGGACTCATAGCAACAATAAAAGGACACGGGGACAGTGAGGATCCGGAGTCGACGCTGGGACATAGGGGTGACGGGCCTGGCTCGCGGGTGCAGGGCGCACAGCCGGCACGCGCGAGGGCCCTGGGGCCGGCGGGTCGGGGCGCTTCGCCAGGGCTGAAGGGGGCCCGCCCGATGGAGTTGCTGCTCCGGCGGGGTGGGGCGCGGCGGAGAGCCTGCGAGGCCTCGGGTCCAGTCGCCGCCCTGAACGTATGTCGAGAGACAGCGCTGAATCCGCCTTGCCGGCAGCCTCTCCAAAGTCTGGGTGGAGAATCAATGGCGCGTGGGGTGGGTGGAGGGACTCGGTTAGAGCGGCCAGAGAGGGCTCCCGTGGACGCCGAGGGCCGGGGAGCCTGAGGAGCACCAGGGGTCCTGAGGCCGGCCCACAGCCAGGGGACCTCGGCGGGGCCGGGCGCTGAGCTGGCCTGGGTCTCCCCGTGCCCAGCCCCTGCTTACAGCTTCTTCCAGAGAGGACTCCGGGCGCGTGAGCCCGTTTATGTCAACGCTGGCGAGGAGCCCGCAGCTCTCGGGGCCGCTTTCACCTCTGCGGCCGAGGACAGCGCCAGAGGCACAGGGGTCAGGCCCAGGGAGCGCTTTCCCGGTGCCGACCGCGGGGGCGCAGAGCCACCTGCCGTCAGCCCCAGGAACGCAGCAGCAGGCGGGCAGCCGGGCAGCCGGCTGTCCCGCGCCCCTCCTTCTGCACGTGGGCGGGGCGGGCACTCCCCTTTTCCCCCTGCCCCGCACGAGTTGGAGTCCTCCCTGTGCGCGGGGCCGTACTGGGCAGATGAAACAGCGCCCGCCTTTCCGCTGGTGAGGTCACCTCCCCAAAGCTCCGCAGCGACAAGCACGTCCTGATGGGGGACCACACGTGGGGCTGCCCCTGCTCAAGGGCGAGGCAGGGCACAGGGGGCCTGCAGACCGGGGCAAGGGGCAGGCGGTGCGGGGCCGCACCCCGGGGGAAGGGCACTTTGGGAGCGGGGTCTGGCCCACCGACACTAGCCCTCCTGGGGTGGGAGCCCACGGCCAGCAGGGAGAAAAGCGCGCGTGCTGTGCTCAGCTCTCCCCCACCCCCAACCGGGGACGACCCTCATCCTGCTCCAAGTTTCTGGGCACAGCTCACCCACACCTGCTGTGGCCACATGCACTGCCAGCCTTGGGGAGCGGAATGAAGGGCACCCCTGAACTCTGCACTGTTGGCGACTTTTCTCAAAGTTTGAAGTTCTTGCTAATTCCTAGCTTCTCAGGATGGTGTGTGTGTGGGGGGGGCAGGGGCGGGGGCGAGGGATTCATTTCTGAACTGTCAGCTATGCAGGTTGGTTCGTCCCCGCCCGTGTGGCTCCCAAGTTTGAGTCCCTGCTGTCAGCTGCACTCCCCGCCACGCCACACCACACCGCAGCGCGGCCCTCCGCCTCCCGGGATCACTGAGGCGGGTCCCGCGTTGGAGGAGGGAACCACCCCTGTAGCTGCAGCAGAAGCACTGGCCGGCGGGCTGCGGCCCCCATCGCTGCAGAGGAGCAACGCCGCGCGGGCCAGCGGCAGCGCCCACACCAGGGCCCACGCCGGACCGGGACCTCTGTGGCGCAGCGGCGAGGCCGGGGCGGGGGCGTGGACACGGCCGGGCTGCAGAATGCGCCCCCTCGCACCAGACACTGCGGGGTGAGCCTGGAGGCTGGCTCTCGGATTCCAGGCAGGAAAAGCGGAGTGGTGAGCGTCCACCGTGTACACGACGGCGACATTCTCTCATCTGTCAGGAGGCTGTGGCTCTCAGCCTCAACCCGTCATGTGACTGGGATACAGTTTTACAGGATTTACATAACATGTGTACAGCCCACACACAATGGCTTTGTTCCCCAAGAGTCCCAAGTTCAGGCATACACACACAACCCGTGAACACTCTTACATTGTTCCTGACAGTTTTCCGGAGATAAAAGTTAGTTTTATTAGTTTTCTATTTCTAATTTAACAGTCACAAACTTAGCGGCTCAAATACAAACTCAGCATCTTGCACTCTGGAGGCCTGAGGTCTGACGAGTGCTGCCAGGCTACAATCAGGACGTCAGCTCTGGGGGACATGTTTCTTGTCTTCTCCAGCCTCTAGAAGCCACCCTTGCCCCTGGGTTCGCGCCCACGTCCACCATCTTCAAAGCCGGCGACGGTGGGGGCCCCCCTGAACCGCCACCCCCCGGTTCTCTCTCCTGCCCTCCCAGAGGCCGGGGCACCCTCCCGCTTCCAGCGCGGCTGGCTGGCGGCCTCGCTTGCTTCTCCAAACTTAACGCTTTTCACAGGCGGCACGCCCACTGGCTGGGGTGCAGGCAGGGCGGCCTGACGGCCGGGGCTCTGCAGACCGCTGACCACACGCCCCGCTACATGCCAGGTATACCCTTGCTGGGAAGCAGCGGGGCCAGCGAGGGAACATCAGTGAAGTCGAGGCGGGGACACTGGCCGGAGAGCTCTCTCTCCAGGAGGGAACCGTCCTGCGACTCCGAGCGCCTCAGCCACACCCATCATCTCCTTCGCCCGGAACCAGCACGGGCACCAGGCAGAGCCAGCCGGGGGCTTTCAGCGCCATGTTTTCTGCAATCGTCCTGGGGACTCACAGCGCCCCAGGTCCTGGTTGTCTCCACACAACGGTCTGGAGCCTCTGGCTGGTACAGCCCCAGTGCTCTTTGGTGTCTCTGTACAGTTAGAAAAAACGGTTCTGAGCAAAATGCATGGTAAAATGATCTGGAACTTTGCGAGTCCATGTTTCAACTTTATTCAATGCTAACTCTGAAGGAAGCCTTTTACTATAAACAACCATGTAATTTAACTTGTAGGAAGAAATTTTCACAATTCTAGGATTCTACTAATTTGATGTATGGCCACTACCAGTGAGACACAAGTTTTTAAGCTTTAAAATTCCTGACAGACATTTACCTATCAAATATCTATGAATTCCTGACAGACATTCCGGGTGGATCTGGTACTAAGATGCATGTGAGCAAACGAGTATGTGAAACAAAACAAAAGGCCTGGAAAGAAGGAAACCCTGAAACGCTGAAGTCAGACGTGCAGCTGGGCCCCCCACGCGTGCCCCGCGTAAGCGCTGGGGCCCTGCCCCTGGGGACAGGCCGCCACGGGCGGGAAGGGTCGCATTGCGGTCACGCTGCAGATTCTGCCTTTATTAAAGGTGAACGCATCAAACATGAATGCAAATGGGCAGTTTTGAATCAAGTGATACCAGCTAAATATTAAATACTCTAAATATTGTAAACATTTGGAGAAAATGCCTACTTAAAATGTCCATCTTATTAGTAAAACTGCAACTTTTAAAAGCATGTTACTTTAAAAAAGAAATTAAAGACATTTATGTTATAAGGCATAAAAGTAGACTTTGAAAGTTGTTCCCATGTACACTCTAGCCTAATCTAGAACTTATTCCTAAAAGAATTATTAAACAAATGTAAGCGATACGGTGACCCTTTAGGTGCTCTGAATCTGGGTGATTACAATGCTATTACCACCATGTGTGATTAAGTTTGCAACTTTAATAAAAATTTTTTTAAATAAAAAAGAAGTGCTTTACCAGAGTATGCACAGATTCACTCTTCCAGGTGAAAACAGGAAAAAAACATACAAATGTTTTACAGTGAAGTCATAAAAATGCACCAAATGTATCAGCAGCAACCACCGTGGAAACGCGGAAACGCGCGCAGTCCGAGGCTCATTCACCAGGCCGACCCGATCGCGCGCCCTACGGCCGCAGCCCTCTCCTCGGCGGCACACGGGATGCTTTCCAGGGAAGTTCTAGAGGTGAAGAGAAGAGGGAAGAAATCAACAGAACGTGCCGACTATGCCGAATCCAACATGCCCGAAAAGCGCATTTAGGTACAGCGCGCTCTGCCGCTGAGCCACGTTGTCCTAAGTTCGTTTATCATGCATACTGTGTACACGCGCTCACACTGAATTCTGCACCTCCCTCAAGTGTATCACTAACTTCTCTTACTAGGTCAGTAACAGAAATAAGCCACCAGGTATCACACACACACAGAACTATTCGGATTCTGTCCTCGTGGAGGAAGCTGGACTGTCCTCGTGGTAAAAAGGCAGCAAACCCTCGGAGCGAGAACCCCGTCAGTGCGGAGAAGCCGCCCTGCTGGCCGCCGGGCGGCAGCCCCACACACGCCGGCTCAGTAACGAGAACCCATCGCGCCAACTCACTGTTTCACAGACGGACGTGACCATGGGACGTGAGTCTGGAAAAGAAACGCCAACGTGCCCCCCAAGGAAGCCCCCCCGCCTCCAACAGCTGCTCTGGTGTCACTGCAGCCCCGCCCCAAGGTCTAGGGACTCCCGGCTTTGTTCTTCCCATTGTCCAATTTGTCACTATTTATCTTGTCGGTTTCCTCCCTTCTCCTCTCTGGAAGTCAGTCCTTGAGGGCAGCTTTTCTTCCTTCCATTGCTAAACTCCCGGCACCCGGGAGGGGACCTCCCTGGGTAGGGGCGGGTGAGCA